GGAGGAGAAGCCTGACAAGAAGCAGTGCAGGTGCAGCAGTGACCTGACCTGAGCTGAATATTGTGCCTGGTAACTCCAAGCAGTACACCACCTCTCCTGGCCTGAGTGACCACCAGAACAGATGGAAACTAAAGTCATGAACTAGATGTATTCAGCAGACATTTTGTGGACATTTTGCAGAGGTGGTCCATGGACTTTGTATTAAATAGTGTAGGACCTCAACATGATGTAAATAGTATAGAATAAGGAGCAGAATGTGTTGATTTGAGCTGAAGTAGAGTTAACTTTCTTCACAGCAAGTGATGACATTTATCTTCCCAAGGAACTGTTACGCATGATGGGCCCTGCTCTCCTGGAAATGGCTGAACACCTGCCTGCCCATGGGAAGCAGTGAATTAATTCCTTGTTTAGCTTTGCACAGCTTCTGCTTTCTCTACTCAGTTGTCTTTATCTCAACCCATGAAGGTTAAGCAACTGCTGAGCTAACGCACGGTTCTTTGAAATCAATGTTGTCAAAACAAAAAGGGGGACTAGGGGCTTTGACCCCACAGGAACAACTTGCCAAAGCTACACATTTTGAACTTTTAGATCGCTGGTCTGATAACAGTATCCCAATTCTAAAACATTTTGCCTCCATGGCAGATGGCAAGATTGATGCATCTGGCAAAGCCACTGTTTTGGTCAAAAATTTAAAATCAGGTAAATGAGAAGGCCTGTGGGATCTTGTTACCTGGGGCCGTGGATATGCTTGTGTCTGTACAGATACCGGAGTGCGGTGGGTGTCTGGATGGTGCGTTTGCCCAGTTTACATCGGTCGGCTACAACAATCCGGAAGGAACGACCATAAAGGCTGGGTGCTACTATTCATTATGTTGCTGTGGGTAATGCCACTGCAAGGAAACCCCATATTGCCCACCTTTCTGAAGACCAATATTTGGGTAACTTTAGCGAATGTCACAGGACAGGAATCCCTATGCTTGTCGATGGCCACTCCAAAGAATCTGTTTTCCACTTGTTTGGTGGGAGTCCCTCTTGAAAACTGGCCTATTCCTACACATGTGTCAAGTGTTACTAATGCAAACAAAGCTCTGGTCGATTCCTGGGGTTCATGGGTTCCACACCTGCCTATAGCAGATCTGGAACCACAAGAGACTGAACTATTAGGATCTACAAAAATGGATTTTTGTATGAAATTCAATTATACGGGAACAGATCAGGCACGTGCTTGGGTGGTAAATGCAATGCGAATACAATATAGAAATGCTTTTGCTTGGTGTAATTATACTAATACACTCTACTAATGTACCCTTGGCACTTTCTGCAGGTATGTTCTTTATTTGTGGAGACCATGCGTGGTCTGGAATTCCTTCTCATTTTAAGGGAGGATCATGCAGCTTAGGTAGACTAACTCTGTTGATGCCTAACAAAACTATATTAAGTGCTCATTGGAAAAAGGGACGCAGGGTAATAAGAAGTATTCATGCTTTTACTCGCAATTGTAAGGACAACCTTGACTTTTGGTCAAAGGATAAGAGAATTGTAGCATCCCTTTTTGCTCCAGTTGCTACAGCAAAAACATTGGTACAGCTTAACAAATGAGGATGTTGGCTAGCAAAACAAACTAATGCCACGTCAACAGCTTTATCAGGGCTATTAGCAGATGTTGATTCTGTAAGGCACGCACCTTTACAGAATTGTGCAGCTATTGATTTTTTGCTTTTAGCACATGGGCATGGTTGTGAAGACTTTGAAGGAATGTGTTGCATGAACCTGTCTGACATTCAATTTCAGAAAGTATCTGAAACAACTACGAGATGGAGTACAGAAACTGAAGGAAAGCAGTGGATGGCTTGATAATCTGTTTAGTAGTTGGGGCAAAAAGGATTTGTTGTTTTTCTTGTTGCATGTATGTTGCTGCTGTTGGTGCCGTGTTTGTTGTCTTTTCTGTGAAGGGCCCTTCAGAGGACAATAAACGCCACTTTTCTGGTTGAAAAGCAAAAAGGGGGTCCTGTGGTAGCTGACAGCTGGTCTGAAGGCCTTGCAGACTTCAACCTTGAGCCGATCATCGTGTACCCCGGAATGGTTGCAGCAGCTAGAAGGAGGCACACTTACCAGAAGAAAGATGAACAAGAGCCAAAAGAAGAGAAAGCTTTTTTGTCAAACAGGATGATAAACAAAATGTGTGCTTATGTGCCAATGACAGGTTGCTTGTAACATGTTATATCCAATGGACAAAAGACATGCTTTATGTAAAAGGTCTAAAAAGGGCTAATTTGTAATAAAGAGAGCTTTTTGCCCTTTGCCATTATTTCTGTGTATGTATCTATGTTGCATGTCCATCTCAACTGCGACAGATTTTTGCACAGGCTGAGGAGAAATATACAGAACATGGGACATTTCTGTGAGGCCCTCATACCACTCTTGGTACTTAACATGCAAAAAGACTCACTTTTTACATGGAAGAAGCCATGGACAGTCATACTTCCAGGCCACTGAAGTGAGCAGTGCACAGAAGAACTGCAGGCACTCCTGACTGTTACGCATGTGAACATTTCAAAAGACAGCATGTTTCAGTAGCACAGAGCTTGCCATGTCCTCTGCAAGAGGCGCGCCAAGATTTGTACGTGTGAGTCACAATCCAAATTTTTCAGCTGCATCTGTTCTGCGTACATTGGTCTTCAAAATTTAGCATTTTTATGCTCTCATCTGCCAGTATCTATCTGCATGCTCTTTCAGCAGCCACCTATTCTCTATTTCATCATTGCATGCATCTCATTACCTAAAGGGTTTGAGAACAATGAGTCCTTTTATTTCTTTTCTTGCTGCATCGACAACTTCTGATAGGAAAACTGGGATGTTAAACATAGTGGCCATGCCACCCCAAGAGCCAGGAGGAGCTGAATCAGAAGCATGAACTCTTTGAAGGCACCTTGCCTCCCCTCTGGCCCCCAGTGTGTAGAGAAGAAGCATGATCTCCCCATAGAAGGACCCCAGATTAACTTCCTGTGTGGACTTCCAAACTAAGATTGCCTCATTTTGCCATCATTTAAAACACTTAACCACAAATGAGAAGCTATTCCCTTGAATGTTTTCTATATCTCATTCAAAAGTGGATAAAATGACAGCAGCTCAGGTTAATCAAGACCCAGGAGGAGCATCCTGTGTACACCCCATCTGTGTTTGAGGCTAATCTAGGGTCAGAGTCAATCAGGGCTTCTTTTCTCTTCCATCAAAATCCAGCAGGTATCTCTCAAATGTATCTCACAAACATCAGTAGCAGCAGAACTCTCCTAGAGAACAGGAACCCCATTTTTTCCTGCAAGCTTTCTTTGTGGAAATTGTATGTCTTTGTTGGTTGTTTTCCTTTTAAAAACTCTGAATAAGAGACCAGCTGAGGGTCCGCTCCAATATTTTGTGTGCCCTCCAGCACACGTACAACACCTCTGCTGTAAAAGCAAGCAAGTAACACACCAAGTAGAACCACCAAGAAGCCAGATGCATCAGTTTCATGATGACTCAAGGACAGGAAACTAAATGCAAGCAGTTCCAATATAAACCTATTTGCAAAGAGAGATTGCGCCAAGTCCTAAGACCTTGGCCACAACTTGGAGCCAGCTGGGCCAGCAGGGCCTCTTCCTGCTCTGATTAATGTCAGCAGCCAAATTTCCATTGCCTTTGCTGGAAACACCTGCAGAAAACAGCCACTGCACTAATCTGCCGGGCACAGCAAGGAATAGCAGCCTCATGTGAGACTGCAGCAGGGAATCTGGCATGCATGACAACAAACACCCATTCTGAAATGGGTGTGGAAAGGGAACAGATGAGCGGTCTCAGCAGCTCAGCTGGCAGGGTAAGAGCTGTCTCCAAACTGAAATGCTGAAGATCAAATACTAAATCTGGTGCAAGTGGTGTGGCTGTACTGGAGTAACCACATTTGCTGGGAACCTTGATATTGACTTTTGAGACCCTAACTGTCCTTTCTTTCTTCTCCGTCCATATGCTGTTACCTCAAGTGCATCCCTTCCTCTTGCACTCTGTACTTCTTTGATCGCATCCCCACTGGAGAATGGCCTCCCCAGTCAGTAAGCAACATCACTACAGCAAACCACTCTTTCAGTGGACAAACCAGTGGGTGGAAAACGTGCACAAAGGCACTTTTCTGCCTGGCACAAGGAATAAAGCATCAAAGAAGCCACTGAGCCAGGAGGCCTCTGAGAGAGACCTTAAGTGGCTGCGTGTGAGTTCATTGCTCTGTTGCTGACATCAGTTTCTTTGGGCTCTGGGAGACATGTTTCATTCTAAAGGGAACATTCCTCCAGAGATCCATTATGAATTAGCACCATTATGAAAGACAGAAAGGAACTGAAGGTTGTTGGAGGGGTGATGGTGGGCAGGTAAACAGGACAGAAGCGCTCCCACAGAACATGCTTAGAAGCTGTATTTTCTCTTTCTCATGCACACACCCACCTTTCTGTCAAAAAAGCTCACCGCCATTGTGGGATCATATGGTTGCAGGCAAACACACACAGTTATCAAGTATGCCTGCAGAGGCATATATGTTACAGGATCAGCCAGGTACAGAAAGAAATCTTAAGCTTCCATCCCTAGGTCTGGGGCTTACCCTGCCAAGTTAGTTCAAACAGCACTTGGACATCCATGTCCACACAGGGGCTGAATTTGGGCTGGACCACTGTTCAGCTGGGGTAGGGATGTAGGTCAATTTAAAAGCATGGTAGGTATTAATTGTCATATCTGATGTCCCAGCAACAAACACTGCATCACTCATCCCAATTAGTCAACACATCCCAAGCAGCTACATGGGGACCACAGGTGGCAGGTGCCCTCCAGAGACCAAGGTGGCAAGGTCTGCTCCAGGTGAACCCCTCCACGAAGTACCTGGTATTGAAGGTGGTGCTAAGAGAACAGTGTCTTTCTAAGAAAGTCACCTCTTTTTGGAGTGAAAGCAAAGCTCCAATGACAGAAACAAACCAGTGTCTTGCTCACTTCTTGTGTGATATGTCAAGGCTATGTTCTTCCTGTGTTTGTTTCAAGAGGAATTGCAGGATGTCATCTGAGAGTCCAGGTGTTCTCCTTCTGTCTTCCAACATGACTTCTTCAGCTGGCTTTGAAAAACAAGCAGTAGGAGGGTGGTTTGGAAAGATCTTACACCCATCTCTGTTCAAGACCAACTGTGCCATTTGCAGGCAACATAAAGCATATTTCGTTCCATCCTGGCTTGCTAGCTCTGAAATCTTCTGTGACAGGCATTGTGATGCAGCCTCGTAGGTTGGATCGATTCTCCCTGGATGACTTCTGCAATACATTTCGTAGAAGTCATCAAGAGATTTCCTGATGTCGGGATCTTCTGCATTATCAGATTCATACATGCATGAGAGCACACCATCATTAGGTTCAGTGGGTTCACACAACCCTGCTTTTGGATAACATCTCACATTTGCTCTCACAGAGCCTTCAGTAGAAAAGTCCACAGGAACTGCAGAGGGTAGACTGCTCTCTCCTGCAAGCATATGATCAGTGAAATTCATTAGTCACCAGGTCACCCCTGTGGCAAAATCTTTTTTTTTGTCTTCCTCACACTGCAGTCTGGCAAACGGGCTCTTTGCACTAGCAAGCTAAGTACTGCTTTAAACTTGGCTGGATTGCCAGAGAATCTTGCTGCACAGATTCATGTAAGATGGGCTGTATTTAGGGAACTCACAACTGTCCCAGCCTCAACACTCTGCAGTGACTGAACTTGCTTGCTGGTAGCTCAGTTCACTTCCAAAGTGGTGGAAATTGGGATATGCTGCTGCTGGAGATAACAGCTGACCCACAGGGAAGTCTGGTTTGCAGCTGAAACAGTTCTGCATCTGTTTCAATTTTCTCCCCTCATCTCTAGGTCTAATCCTTCCCTTTTTATAGTTCTCAATTTTACTCCTAGAGCATAATGTGCAGTCCTGTCCTCCAGCTTTGAGTGAGATCTACAGCCTCCAAATCAACACTGTTATGGTGAGTGCATGGAGTTTTGGAATGGAGACTGCAAAGGGGGACTCTTTCCTCCATGAAGTCCCATTTTTTCAGCCCTGCTGTGCTGAATGCTCTCCCCACATCCTGAAGGAATCTTTGTAGATAAATTTTACGTAAAGGGCAAGGACTCATTCTTACCTAACTCTTCTCCTTCCTTGCTGATCCACATATCTAGGTAACAGTCAGGCCTGTGGCTCTCTTTTGCTCCAATGTAATCAAGGGGGATGCTTTGTACCTACACATGATTAATCAGCATCAGCACAGAGACACTTGGCAGTGATGAGACCAGGATGATCAGCAAGCCACACACAGCTTCTAGTTGAAAGAGCCTCTGTAAAGAGACCTTGAAGTGGGCTCTGGTACCCAGGAAATGCTTCTAACTGCAATCTCATCTCCAAGCTCAATGCACCAGATTCTTTGCCAAGCACCTGACTCACTGACAAAATTTTGCAGGGCCCAGCCAAAGGTTGCATAGCCATCATCTGCAAGTTTGTAAGGAGGATGCAGGGAGTCAGAAAATATCTTGATGTTTTCTAATTCTGTGAAATATGAAGCAGAGTGCAGTCCTTCATTTCGGTAAGAGACCATGCACAAAACAAATCCCAGTGCAGTGGTAGAAGGCTATTCTTTCCCTCCCAGTACACAAAGAGCTATCCTCCCCTTCCTGACCAGCCAGAGATTCATTAAAATGAAATTAAGATGTTCGTGCAGCCATACTGTACATTGTCTCTCTCTTCCGCTCTCTGCTTCCTATCTTCAATCTTTTCAATTGCACTTCATTTCAGGTTATGCAATTTTAAATAGAACTTTTCCTCCTCTTGCAATGTATCACTTCCAATGCAGTTAAAGGAAAGTTTAGTGGCCTTCTTTTAACAATGATATATGCCATCAGAATAGCAAATCAGAGCTCATAAAAAAGAACACAACCATTTTTCCTCAATAATCTTTCAGCCTTGGTACCTATGTTAAGTTAGAACTGAAGCCTCATGCATCTCTGATAATTCAGTCAAGTGGCACTATCACTCAGATTCCCAAACCCCTGTGCTGTGCTATCTTCTTGCTACTTCTTACACATAGCTCACAGCCACACTTTGGAAAAGAGCAGCATCTGCCTCCAGCTGTAAATATTAACCCTACATGACCTGGGAGGAGAAAAAATCCTGTTGGCTTCATATTGTCACGGGAGACTTCTGCAATTCTGTTCTGCCTCTCGCCCGAGATCTTAGTTTGGAAAATATTAGGAAAATATTCCTCATGGAAAGGGTTGTCAAGCATTGGAACAGGTTGCCCAGGAAAGTGGCTGAGTCACCATCCCTGTAGGTATTTAATCAACATGTAGATGTGGCACTTGGGGACATGGTTTAGTGGTGTATTTTATTTTAAAGCCAGTATGACTATAAAGCAGACATCCTCTGTTGAAGCACAATCCACTGAAGAAGTGACCTGTAAGTATTTCAGGAGTATATTTTAGGGTTTAGTAAGTCAGAAAGTACTCAATTATATTATTGAGAGAACAGTTTTCTTTCAGTTACTGATTCAATTTTATGTATCTCTATTTTTCAACAGTAGATCCTATCCTCTTAGTGGATTATCTTTCCAGGAAAGCCTTCTTAAGGCAAGATATGAAAAGTTAGCTGCAGAATCCCAGAACCAATCTATACCTCACAAAGTTGCACCTTTCCTCAGCTTTCCTGACAATTTCCCAATATATTCTCAAACTATGTGCCAAGACTGACCTTTCAAAATACATGCAACTCTTTTACACCCTAGAAAGGTATCAGTTAAGGTAGAGATCCTTCCTCCATACTCTCTAAAGAGCTGATACTGCTGCTGAAACTCACAAATGTCCTGAATGATTTATAAACCACGGGGAAGAAGCCCAGAAGCTGGCTGCCTGCAGGGTCCAGAAAGAGCTTCTCAGCAGGAGTACATGTACAGCACACAAGCACACAATGTAGGCCAGAAAACACGCTGCTGAAGGCAAAGACACCATTCAACTAATAAATTTCTTTGCTTCTCTATGCACCTGCACCCCTCAAGAATGCTGGGATTCCCTGATAAGACACAGTAGCATTGCTTCAAAGCTTAGACCTCTCTGGCCATCTCTCAGCAGCAGGAAGAATTTACTTTTTTAACTTCCTTGTTCTTCCACAGCTGTCACACACCCTTGTGCTGGCTTGCCCCAACACCTACAGAAGTCAATGTGGAGACGAACAGGGCTTAAAACTCTCACTCTGTTTACCAGCAACAGAATTTTATCACCAGAGAATTTGGCTCATTATTTTTAGCTATTTTCACTCATTTATACCACCAAGTATTAAAGGGGGAAAAAATCCACAACCAAAAAGCCCCCCAAAACTGAAATGGGTCATTATTCATGTCTCCATTTCATTCTCACATGACAGATAATCATCAGTAAGAATGCATTTTATTTCATCTGTACCTCCACTGAATGCTAATTGAAGTTCAGCATTTGCAGCTTATTAGTAAAAGACCAGGGGCTGATAAAGGGATATTCTTGTGTTTATGAACCTACTGATAAAAATTTAAAAGCTCCATCTGGTACAAGCACACAACCCTACTGCCAGAAGCATGTAACTGAATCCTGCTTTGGACCTGGACCACAGGCCATCTTTCAGTGATGCAATAGTTCTGTAATATTATAATTTGCACTTACATAAAAGCAGCTTACATAGTTGTTTGAGTTTCTGTATAACTATGTTCAAGCACATACAGTCAGAGTGCAAAATAAGACATCCTTCAAACAACAGGTACACTGCTGGCTTTCTGGGGAAAGAAATCCCTTGTGATTCAGATGGGCAGTGATCCCTGCAGTTGCTTCACTAGAGCTAGTGTTGCTGTGATCTCTGTCTATATCCATGCAGGAGCCTAGCTGAATGCCAGCAGCTGCAAATTCTCTGTTACATCTGTAGCTGGATTGGTCCAAGTCTACTGCCCTCTCCCACTGTCTAACTACCTCCCAGGTACCCTGCACATAGGATATGTGCTTCCCCGCCTGCCCAGCACACAAAGGCCCACTCTATTATGAGGGTCTGTGAGATTTATACTGTAGACCTGAGTATGGGAGAACTAAACCACAGTGGTTTGTCATCAGCAGTTCTGTGAAAAGAGAAATTACATTGACTGGTTTGGGCAGGAATCATTTGCCCTAGGGCTTAGGAATGACTCACAGAATGACAGAATATACAGAGTTGGAAGGGACC